AGGTGTGCCCCTCAACTGCTTTTCTTTTCCGTGTGCTTGGCACGCTTCTGTATCACTGTAGATGGGGTGGAACCATCGGCCTAAGATCCATCAATCTGCTAAAGTAGGTCCAACTGTTTTGCTCGATTTCTTTCAGAAGGATCACGCCTTCCTGACAAGAAGGAAATCCAAGGACAGATTTGGATACTTAGGGAAGTGAAGACTTTGACCTACTGTGGTAGATTGCATGGATGTCGGAGTCAATCAGAACGTCCAGATTCTTCCATGCACCGTGTTTTCACAGAGGCCTGGAGGTCCACATGGAAGTTAAATGTATTTGGCCTATTTTGGCACCGTGAAGCATCCTAAATTGGAATATGCACTGCCACACTTTACAAATTAAGGTGTTGGAGGTCATTTATGCATGCCGACATCCTCGGAATCCAGTGCCTGCAGTATGGTCAACCTTGCAGTACATTTCGAGATGGTTGGAAGCACGCAGGAGTATAGGTTTCTTTTGTTTTCCTCCCAACGCACAGTGTCACAACAAACTTTTTAGGCAAATACCGGCTCAAGGAAGACTTGAAGAACACACATCCGCAAAATGGTCTTTGAGATGGAGTACTGATTCTTCTCCAGATGTTTCTTGCAGCTACGCGTATCCAGGAATCCAGAAAAGAACTATAGTCACTATATATTTGTCAAACGTTCGACACTGCAGACAGGCATTCCTGCCAGAAAAGAGTTTGTAGAAGAGCAAAGTTTTCTGCGTTTCATTTTGGGGGGTAAAGTTTGCTTTGTGGGAGGGTACGCATCCGAAAGAATCAGCAACCATGATATCTTTTTGCGGCTGTTTTGCTGTTTGTTTGCTTGCTTCAGCAAGAACCCTAACCTGTTTGTGCTTCACGTTTAATTGCCAATTTCTTTGTACCTCCAGACAACCAAGAACGTGAATCAAATCATGACCTTTTAAACTTGAATTGCTTGAATTGCCCTCCCTCCAAACATGGAAGCTGAACCGTGGCAGTGTGTAGAGCAAAATCACCTCCATGCAGGTAGACAGGCGACATCTCGCAAGCATTGCGCACCGCCCAGAGCAGTGATTCCTCGGTCATGGTGGTGAAACAGGTGGCCTTTGGTGCTTTCGGGAGCATGATTAGCTGTCATGGAGGATTCTCTTCATGTTTCTTCAAATTAATGTAGACTCTTGATTATATTTTAACCCCCCGTGTGAAGCAAATGGGAGGTTTTATGAATCAAGAGTTTACATTGTGAGTGGTTTAGAGTGAAAACTGAGCCCAAGGAGGTTACTTGAGGCCTCCATCATGTTTTGTTGCACTGGCATTTTCACTCGCGTCTATGTACATCCAGCCTGAGCAGGTTGACCACACTCACGAGCAGACTCCATTTCCGAGGTCATCTAAGGGGTGAGCCGGCGAGGAGCGAACCCAACTCGACTCAAGGGTTCTTGGGGCTCCACAGTGATTGTTAAAAGGCGCATCCAGCATCCCTTTCAAACAACCATGCCACCCTGAGGTTCACAATCCCCAATTGTGGTGACAAACGAACTGATGAATGCAGATGAGGTTTCGTTTCAACTTAATCCATTCCAACTGATATACGTGTGCTCCATTAGGAAGTTTGTTTCACCACCTGTCAGGTGAGGGTTGTTAGATTTTAGAAGAAGATCCCGCCTCCTTTGTCTTTGTGTTTGTCTCCTCGCCTTGCAGTTCCTCAACTGCCAGCTCCAGATCGCACTCAGTTGGCACTACCTTCACCGCAAGCGCCAGATCACAAGAAGCACTACCACACCTTAACAACAAGCTCACGATCACACACTACCGGCCTGCACAGAAAGCGCCAGATCGCTGTGGGCACTACCGGGCCACAACAGCAAGCGCCAGATCGCAGTGGACACTATACCGGGCCTGCACA